AGGTGCTGCTGGTGGGGGGCAGAATCCAAAGGGAATGGGCAGGAGAGGAAAAGCAGTATTTAAAAACCACAGTCTGACCTGTCAAGATTTCTGTTAACACCAAACACCCCCTGGACATGAAGCACTGCAATCCCCTCTTTCCTGCAGCGAGGAATAAGCAAAGAGCCAGGGTATATTGGTATATTGAAGCCAAAACAGCGAGGCACACCTTTGATAGGGATGAGCTGCCCCAACACCTATGTGGACACAGGGTGTGCTGCAGGCAGGGCGCCCGCAGCAAGGGATGCGCTGGGAATGACCTGGGAACACAACTGCAGCAGCAGCACCAAGAGAAACGGAGGCGCAAACCCAACCCCGAGCCAGCCGAGGCTGCTCCTCCTCTGGAAGTGCTGCAATTCCTGCCTGGCTCAGGCTAAAATAAACTCACACATCAAATATTTAATCCCCCCAAGCCTCTTTCCCGAGGCTGCTCCCTGTGGCTGCGCATCCCGAGCGCAGGATCCCATCCCGAGCGCTGAGCCCCGCATCTTCCGCAGCTTAATGCGAGTTAATAGCAGCGGTGATAACTTATTTAAGAGCAGATCAAGAGCTACCCCGGTTCTCTTTGGAGACATCAAAAGCAGCTGAATGCTACCGGTATCCTCTGATGAAGATACAGCTTTGCTGTACCATCTGCCTCAGGGGAGCCTCGCAGTGCCACCACAGGGATGCTGTCACACAGGGGTACCTGCCACCCTCCAGCCCCAGCATCATAGAACCATAGAATAGTTAGGGTTGGAAAGGACCTTAAGATCGTCAAGTTCCACCCCCCTGCCATGGGCAGGGACACCTCGCTCTAAACCATATCACCCAAGGCCTCGTCCAGCCTGGCCTTGAACACTGCCAGGGATGGAGCATTCACAACCTCCCTGGACAACCCATTCCAGTGCCTCAACACCCTCACAGGAAAGAATTTCCTCCTTATATCCAATCTAAACTTCCCCTGTTTCAGTTTGAACCCATTACCCCTTGTCCTATGTCCCTAATGAAGAGTCCCTCCCCAGCATCCCTATAGGCCCCCTTCGTGGATGCTGGACCTGCTGCAGGTGGAGGGGAGCCAGGATAACCCTTGTCCTGCCAGGGACCACATCCTGCAGATGGCCCTGGTGGGTCCTCAGGCTGCCCAGGCAGCCCCCATCACCTGTGAGGAGGTGGGATGCAGTTGCCATGGCAACAGGGGGGAAAAAGAAGGGGGGGAAAGGGAAAGGCTGTGGGTGACAGTGCTGGGCACCCATTCCTATGCCATGGGGCAGGGGAATGAAGAGACATGGTGCAAACAGCCAGAGCGCACTCCTGCTTCATCAGCCAGGCTGGCCATCACCGTGATACACCTTCACACCTCTGGGTGCCATCCCAGCAGAGGCAGGGAGTGAGCAAGAGGAGGGTTGAAGGATTCCCACTGACATTTAGAGCAGGAGACTTCAGCCCCTGTCTCGATCACAAGCACAGGCAGGTGGGGCTGGGGCAGAAGGACACCACAAGTGATGTGCTTTAATAGAGACCTTGGGAGCATCTTGCTGGACAAGGACAAAACATCCTCCATCAGCAAATGGCATTTCCTCCCTGGGAACCAAAGCCCCATGGCCAAAAACTCCACCCCAGGCTGAGGCTGATAGGAGATTTGATATTGATTCACTGGGGCCAGGATTTCATCCTGTGATTTAAACCTAACTCCTCCAAAGAGAATAGGATCAATTTTACAGAGAATCAAATAAATAAAGAACAGTCTTTGAGCCGGTGTGCAGCAGAGGCAGGGAGGGGAGGGGGGAAAAAGGCTCTTTTCTTATCAGGGAAGTTAAAGAAAGGAGAGAGAACAGAAAGGAACCTGGAGAATGCTGTTTGCTCATTTTTCCTTTCCCAGTCAAAACAACCCTGCCTCTGCCTGTTCTCTGCATGGGTACCAAGGGAGCAGCAGCAGGTTTCTCATAGCAGGGCTCGGATGAAGCACCCCTATGGGCCCTGGACCCCCAACCTGGCCCTTCCCACAAAGCCCCTGCCCTGTGGAGCGGGTCTGACATGCTGGGGTCTCATGCTAACACAGCCTGACACAAGTGATGGGAAATGCTTGAACACACAGGTGATACAGCATCCACCTGCATGGGCTGGGAAGCTGCCTCCTAAAGGGGCTGGGGAATGAGGGTGCATGGAAAAGCAGAGATTTGGGGCTGGAAAGAGGAAAGCAAGGGAGCAGGGCCACACCGTGCAACCAGCACCCCTCCGGTCTGTGAAGCTGAAAACCCTTGCACTGAGTCTCTCTTGGAGGTTCTATTATTGTAATTCCTTTTTTATTTTAGCCTTGGAACACCATCCATCACCCTCAGGCAGCACAGACCGGCCCTTGCCAAGGCTGCTGCTCTGCTCTTGCACCCTCTACCCTTAAAGCACTGGGACAACACTGAGTTTCCTCCATCCTAAAGCTTTCCAAGGGATCAGGTTTGCCTTTGCCCCTCTGCTGCCATCCCAGCCACCTTCCCTCACCCAGCACCCATAGCAGAGGCTCCTGCAGGCAGCGTTCCCCTGCCCATTATTTAACTGCAATCCAGAGACAATTTTTCTTGGGAAAAGCTTTTAAGCTTGATCAGTGATGGGGTTAATATTGTTTGCCCCGTGTCCCAATCCTTTATCCGTATTAATGGATGGTGCCACGGCAGGGTTTTCTGCGGCAGGTTTTGCTTTGCTGGGGCTGCAGTGACAGATCACACCGCAGCCACCAACCACGTCCCCACAGAAGCTGCCCAGACACCCCCAACCACGGTGTGATGCTAAAGGCTCTGTCCCCAGGGCAGCATCCATCCTGCTGCATCCCGTTCGGTACCCAAAGGAGCAGAGCACGGCGGCGGAGGTGAGCTCCGTACACCTGCCTGTGTTTGCTCACCGGTGGCTCTTTGGGGACCGCTCGGTTGCATCACGCTCTGAAGGAAAGGACACCAGCACAAAACAGAGCCCAGATGCAGGTTAAAGCAGTGGAGGCTCCGCTGGGGCTGCCGGTGCCGTTGGGTTTCTGCCCATGGCAAGGAAGTCGCAGGCAGCCGGTCCCACACCTTTCCCTATGGGAGCACAGCCTGGATCCGGCAGCGATAACAATGCAGGATGGGGACCTTTGCTCCCCCCTGCAATACTCTGTTTGCAGAGCCCTGCTTCAAGCACCAATACATTATATATACGTATTTTGGCTCAGTGCTTTCAGGCCTTTGATCCCTCCAATTTATTTGTTCTTGTCTTTGTGGGCTTAGCAGTCAAAGTGTATGATAATTCATTGCTGTTAATCCAATTTGGCTCCATTCTGATAGCCCAGTTTAACATAAAATATAACATAAAGCAGTGTCCAGAGGACACAGGAATGAGATGCACATCTATGAACCGGCTCTGAACCCCTACCACAGAACCAGGGAGGGCTGGCTGCTTTCTTTGTTAGCTCATTCCCCCTGCCTTCACTGAGCTGGTCTTGGCTGAGCCCCTCACCACAGCCATGGTGGGGGGGGTCTGCAGTGGGGTGCAGCACAGCACCATACAGCCCCAGTACAACCAGCCACCAGCACAGCATCAGCTGAGGATGATGGGGGCTCAAGGGACCCCAGGCTGGGTCCCCAGGGGCAGTTCTGGGGTGCAGCAGTACCCAGACCTCCTGTTTATCACCAAAGTGCTATGGACCTCACTGGGGCTTGCTCCAGCTCATGAGCCTCAGAGCAGGAGCAGGGACCAGCAGCATCCCTCTCCATCCATCCGCAGCACCCGCTCCATCGCGCTTCCTGGCACTGTTACGGATGCAAACTTCAACCCTGCTGCTGCTGCCTCAGCAGAGGAGATGCTGCAGCTCTTTGGGGAGTGCCAGAGGGGACAGGGATGGCAGCAGTGGCACGGCGGGGACATGTCACCAACCTGACATCGCTGAGCTCCCAGCGGCATTGGAGGGGTGTATTAAAGCAGGAGCCAGCCCAGCGCCTGCAAGATCCCATCAGGTTCTGGGGACAGATGTACTGGGATGCCTGGGGAGGTTTCAGCCCCATTCCAGGTCTCAGGCTGGGCTCTGCATTGCCCCCGTGAGCCCCACTGCAGCCATCAGCCCCACGTCTGCTGCCTGCCTCCCTGCAGTTCCCTGCTCACCAAAACCACAAACAGCATCAGTTCCTACCTGGAAGATGAGCCCATGATGCTGGCCTTGGGTCCCCGGCTTCGGGATGCTGCAGCACAGCCCACAACCTCTTCAGGCATGGACATCCACCTGCAAACCAGCCCAGACAAGCAGCAGGCTCCCCCCACAGCCTGCCTCTATCTCCTCTGACCCAGCTGCCAAGCATCTTGCTAAGGAGGGTGAAATCATTGCTGGGTGCTGTGCAAACACAGCTCCACCTGTGCTGGAACTGACCCAGGGCATTGGCAAGACCCCTTTACCATGGGGTTACAGTGGTGGGGCGGCCCATGTAGGCATGGTTAAACTGCTGCCCTCTGCCCCCTGTCCGCCCCAGCCATACAGGGTGATGCTCAGCCTCAGCTCAAGCATCTTCTCACCCCAGGGAAGGGGCTTCCCATGTTGCTGCTCTTGTTCCAGTTCCACTTTCGGGTCACCCTGGCTGAGTCACTGAATGAGCAGAGGCCACTGGGGAGGACATTTACCCCCCTTAGCCACAGAGCTCTTGGATGCTCCATGCATTAAAGTGCTCCATCAATCCAGAGGCAGTGGATGCTCCTCACCATCTCCCCATAGTGTCCTGAAATAGGGAAGAAAAGTCATCTTCTGTACCATGCATGCAGTGTGTGTCGAAGATGGGGGGACATTGGGATGGTGACAGCCTCTTCCTGGGGGGAAAGCTCTACCTGAGCTTTGCAGCTTCTTGGGTGCCAAACAGGGGGAGCAGGACGGGAATGGGCTGGGGTAGCACCCAGGGGACCACACGGACCCCCAGCCATGTGCTGGCATCTGCAGGACCTGGAGCCCATCAAAGCAAACCCACTCAGGCATGTTTAACCAAACACTTACTTTCCATTTTATTCAATAATTGCTTTAATACTAAAATGCATCGGATGCTCAAAGCAGAGAAAAGAAAATCACATTGAGGTGGAAAACAAAGTTCTCGGATGGGAAAATAAAAACCCCAACCCAGTGTGGTTCACCATTGAAACAGAACTGTAATAACTTAATAAAGCTGCTTTATCATCTTCATAAAATAGACAGAATGGTGCTGCTTCTTTTTATCCATGTTGCTGTTTACAATGAGTCAATCACTGTGGAAATGTACATAACATACAGATCAGCATATACAACAATTGATTCTTCATATACTCGGCAACGGAGACACACCATGACGAGACGAGATGCGCCGCGCTCAGTCCCGCGGCAGCCCTGCCTGCTGGCATCCCGGCTCCCACCGGGTTAGCCGGTGTGGAAAACCAGGTTGCAATGGGTGTGTTTGAAGGTTCTACCCCAGTTTAGATCAGCTGAACATCAGCTGATGCTCGTGAAGGATCCGTCTGGGCAGTGCTTGCAGCTGGGCTCACAGGCTGGACCAGGCATCGCCCAGAGCTGGAGCAACCAAGATCATCAGTCTCCCCCAATGACAGACAAATGTGTTTCCATTCATCATTAGGTACTATTTTCCCCCCTCCCCATCCCGAGAATAATTCCAACATATTCATCAGACAGTGTGTTCTTTACAAAAGGAACTGGTTCTCTCCTATTTGAAAAAGGAAAAATAGAAATCAATAGAAAGGAATTCACTTCTGCACAACGAGTGATCATCCACAGGCCACCTCCAGCTTCACAACACACAGGCAACGGCAACAACCTCAGCAGGACGGTGCTCATCCTCCCCATCCCTCCATCATCCCACCCTTAGGGAAAGGCTCCCCATGGAGCAGGGAAGTGTCCCTGAGCCAGCACAGGGGGGGGTTCATCCCCAGGGATGCTCCAGATGGTCCTCGTCATGCTCGGGGGACAATCGTAGGTGGGTGCTGCTCTCCTGGGTAACAGGGAGCACAGTGAGTGTGCCTGCAGGAAACCCAGCAGATCCCAGCGATTCTTCCTAAACCAAATCTGAGGACAGGTTTCAGTTACTCAAAAGCACCATAATTACACCTGGAACCCCTTTCCCAAGCGCTCCCTGCCCACCCCGCAGCTCGGAATGGTTTTGCATGGACAGTTTCAATGCAACAAGGAAAACGACCCCAAAACAGATTTGCTCAGGAGCCTGAACTTATCTCCAGTGACACAGAGGGACAGTGACAGGGGTAGCAACAGACTCAGGAGCCTCTTCCCTTGGCCCTGCACAGGAGGATGTGCCAGGGAGGGCCCCTCACTCAGCATCCCTGGCTGCAGCCCGGGAAACTGGTGTTTAAATGGTTTTCTTGGAGGCATAAGGGTTTAGTGACCTCTTTAGTGCCCCCTTTTAATGCAGAATTATTTCACATCCCTCCTCGGCTGTGCTGTTATTCAGGGTGGCACGGAACGTGAACGTCTCCTCTGGGTGAATTACAGAATGCTCCTGGTGGGTTTGTGCTCTCTTCCTTTTCACTTAGCATCTACTTCTCATCCAAAGCACCGGGCTGGTGCTGGCAGCTCTGCAGGTAGAGGGCAGTGCTCAACAGGAGCCAACAGCCGGGGCTCCTCGGGTAGCTGGGGGTGATGGTGATGATAATGGGGAGCCTGAAATGGGGGGCAGCCAGGTCCCATCCTGCTGGAGGTGGTGATGGACAATGGGGTGATGTGGGGCTGCTGCCTTGCAAAGCCAAGAGCCCATCCTTGGCAGTGTTCAAGGCCAGGTTGGACGGGGCTTGGAGCAGGCTGCTCTAGTGGAAGGTGTCTCTGCACATGGCATCTGGATGAGCTTTAAGGTCCCTTCCAACCCAAAGCAGTCTGGGACTCTATGATCTGACATCACAGGCTCTGTCACTCAGCAAACACATACAAGAAGCTTTTCCCCCCCTAAAGAGCTGACAAAACCAGGTAACATCAGCATAAACCCAGCCTCACAGTTCCAGAACATCCAGTTATTCCAACAGCCCCGAGCCAGCCCCTTTCTTCTTTGCTTGTGTTAGAAAAATACACACATTTGGGGAAAAGAAACACAGATTGAAATGACAGCAGTAACAGCACACAGGCAGGAACAGAAAGAACATATCCCTGAAAAATGGGCTCAAACTCCAGAAGAGAGGGGAAAAATCCCCGTTTCGCTTTCCAGAGGGATGCAGAACATCACGTTAGCGCGTGGGATGGGAGCTGAATGAGGTAGTCATCAATACCAGCGAGGGAAGCATCACAAATCCCATCTTTTGTCGGTTCTTTCCCAATTCCTGGCCCTAGGAAGTGGCAAGGGGAGCAGAGTGACTGCGGACATGCCTGGGACCAGCCATGCCTTCAGGCAGGATCCATTTGCCCTGAAGAAATAAAAGCTGGAGCTTCAGGTAATTTGGAGGATAGTAATGACTGGAGTTTGTTTTCCTGATGATGTTTTTCACTTAGAGAAATCAAAGTAATGCATTTCTTATCATAAGATGTAGACCTAGAAAGACTCTTTCTCTATAAACCACTAATCTCAGCTTGCTGGTACAGCAAACATTGGCAAGAGCGATGTATTTCCCCTTCCATAATCCATTTTCAATTCTAGGAAACATCATTTGGGGGAGGAAAATCTGTCCAGTGAAGGGTTAATCACAACAGTAATACACTAATTGTGTATTATAAATCACAATGGTAATACACTAACGGCAATCCTACCTCACTCATACCTCACTGAGGAATCATCACTGCAAGAGGGCAGGGAGCTGTGAAGCCCCTTTCCCTCTCTCCCTTCTACAAAGGGGCTATGAAAGTAGCTCAATTTTGGAATCATTTTTATATGAGTAGATTTGTACCCACACAAAAAAGGAAAAAGTCCTTAATTCTGAGCAAAAATAATGAATTGCTTTAATTTTCTCTCCATTAAGAAGGCACATTAATTGAATTAGTAGCATTGTTACATATCACCTGTCTGCCCCTAAATTAACGTCGCTATTGCTCATTCCATACTTATTTATGATGCAGGGACGGAAAGAAATCAGAACAGCCTGAAATCCATGCCATGGTGACACATACAGACACATACTTGGCATAATCACGCCTGGGAAATGCTGACTTGGAAGTGTGTGCCTAATTGAGAAGGTGATTGAGATCTCTTCAATAATTCCATCCCTTTGGCTTGGATATGATTGGAGACGGGGGATAGCTAAACCTGGGAACTGGAAAAAAACCCCAAACCAACCAACTTGTGGAAAAAAAGCTTTCCATGCATTGCCTTGAAATGATGGAAAAGAAACAGGGAAGGGGGAAAAGTTCAGCACAGCGCATCCAACAATTGCAATCCAGGCAGAAATTCCCCCCACCCAAAACCTCTTCCCTTAATGCCCTGGCACTGCCCTGCAGGAGCTGGGGGAGGCTTCAGGTGATGGAGGGCTGGGAGAAGCGCTGGCTCCAGTGGGTTGCAGGCTGCAGGGTCCCCAAAGTTTAGGTTAGATGATGGTGAATTATGTTTCTTTCCATTTTTGTTATGCTTGGAAGCCTTTTGCCATCACCAGACATACAGGAATTTGCAATATCAAATACAGGAATAGTACAGAGAAGCATGTGACAGCAAAAGGATTCATAAATGCAAGGGGGTCCATAGCAAAATAGCAACATCTTGAAATACAAACAGCCTCGTGTTGGGTTAATGAACACTCACCCGAGTGTCACATTGAGCAGTGGCACGCAGGGAACGGCCGCGGCTCTGCCTGGACTACAAAACCACCGGGGTGATGACTAAAGAGGGCTGGATGAGGAATTTGCCATTCAATTCTCTCCAGGAATGGGAATTGATATAAAAATATAGAAACTCCGAGGAGGGGACACCGAGCGCTGCAGGGGAGCAGGGAGGGGGAACGTCTCACCTCTGCCCCCCACCACCCAATAGCAAACCACCAGCTGCTTTGCTCGGGCTGCACACCCCTGCTGCCTGTTGAGCCAAGTGGGATTGTCACATTAACGATAGCTTCATTTATAAACAATACATTTAGGGAAAGCTTTTAAATACAGCAATCTGTGAACCATTGGTAAGCGGTAAAAACAATCTGCGCTGGGAGTCGTGCGGTCCCTCCTCATCCTCCTCTTCCTCCTCCTCTCACCGGGTGCTGCTCAGAGGACGATGTCTTTTAGTCTCCGGGCGCCGGGCGAGTCCTTATCCCGGCGTTCCTGCAGGAGCGGGTTGCCCTCCTGCCCGCCGCTCTCGCTGTCCGCCCCGCGGGGCTCTGCCTCCGTCGGCCGGGAAGGACCAGTGTTCCCAAAGGGCTCCCGTTCCCGGTTGCCGGCGCAGTGCCCGGCACCGTACGGAGCCGAGGGCTTGCCGGCCAAAGGGCTCTTCAGGTGGAGGGGCGAGGTGACGGGGCTGACGGCCTCGCAGCCGTTGCCCGCCTCGCGGATGGCGCCGCTCACCTTGGGGCTGCAGGCGGCCGGGTCCACCGTTCTTTTGCCTTTGGGGTTGGCGAGGCGCTCCTCGGCCAGGGGCTCAGCGCCCTCCTTGCCGAAGGTGGCGAAGGTCCTTTTTGTGCTGCAGTCTGCGTAAGGCTCCGCGTCCACCGCCGTGGCCTCGATGGACAGCGCGATGACGTTCCTCCCGTGCTCCGGGGACTTGGTGCGGCTGGGGACGGCGCCGCGGGGCATCCAGCACCGGTCCGAGTGGCCCAGGATGCGGCACTCCTCCCTGCAATGGAACCCCTCGCTCTGCTCTGTGGGGAGAGAACACAAGGGGTGGTGAACGGGGGAAACCGTGCTGTACCCCAACCTGCCCCACCGAGCCAGGCGCTGGGCAGCACTCCTATCCCATATAGCAGCCACCTACCGAGCAGCAGCTACCCTACCCTATACAGTTCTTAAGGCAAGGCTTGGAATAGGGATTGGTTCAGCCTGGAGAAGAGAAGCTGCATGGAGACCTCATAGCAGCCTTCCAGTATCTGAAGGGGGCCTATAGGGATGCTGGGGATGGACTCTTCATTAGGGACTGTAGTGACAGGACAAGGGGTAATGGGTTAAAACTGAAACAGGGGAAGTTTAGATTGGATATAAGGAGGAAATTCTTTCCTGTGAGGGTGGTGAGGCACTGGAATGGGTTGCCCAGGGAGGTTGTGAATGCTCCATCCCTGGCAGTGTTCAAGGCCAGGCTGAATGAGGCCTTGGGTGCCATGGTTTAGAGCGAGGTGTCCCTGCCCATGGCAGGGGGTTGGAACTGGATGATCTTAAGGTCCTTTCCACCCCTAACTATTCTATGATTCTATGATCTTTGCTGCTGTAAAGGCTGGGGTTCCATTTCCAACAGGCTCTGTGTCATCTGCCACAGCCAGACGTGCAGCCTAAGGAATGGTGTCGGATGTGAATCCATCACCGCAGGGCTGTCCCGCCTGCTGAGCCCCTCTGAGTGAGCAGGTTCTGGGTTTAGTAACCAGCCCTCAAAGCCACCCTATTTTAAGCTTGGTTTGATGTGGCATTTAAGCTTGACTTTTTACAGAGGGAAGAAGGAGCAGAGGGAGGAGGGGGGGTTCTTTTCTTCCTGGTGTATACGGGTGGTTTCAGTTTTTGCTCAATCCCCGCTGACCTCCCACACAATGGAGGCTTCATAAATCTCTGTGACTGCCCACTCCAGTGAAGATTAAATGTGTCATTCCCAGCGCTTGGGCTTTATTCATATGAAAGCAATAAAGATCCCGTCCCTGGACTTTGGGCTGTCCCGACACCACTTCACAGGGCTGAAATATGGAGTGGTGGTTTAACCCTTCCCAAGGACTTTCCATACCAGGTCTGAGCTCTCCTAGGCAAGTGCAAACCCTTGTGCTTGGTGCTTGTGTGCATCCCTGTGCTGCCAGCTGATCCACAGGGACTGCATGGCCTCAGGCCCCCATCATGGATGGACAAACGGGCTCAGGGAAGCAACCAGGTTCAGCCAAGTGCAAACTTCGACATCATAGAATGGTTTGTGTTTGAAGGGAGCTTAAAGCTCCTCCAGCTGCAACCTCTACCACAGGCAGGGACACCTTCCACTGGAGCAGCTTGCTCCAAGCCCCTGTGTCCAACCTGGCCTTGAGCACTGCCAGGGATGGGGCAGCCACAGCTTCTCTGGGCACCCTGTGCCAGCGCCTCAGCACCCTCATGTAAGGAACTTTTTCCTTATATGCAACCTAAATCCCCCCTGTTTCAGTTTGAACCCATCACCCCTTGTCCTACCACTACAGTCCCTGATGAAGAGTCCCTCTCCAGCATCCTTGTACCCCCCTTCAGACACTGGAAGCTGCTCTGAGGTCTCCATGCAGCTTCTCCAGGCTGAACAGCCCCAGTGTTCTCAGCCTGTCTCCATATCGGAGGTACTCCAGCCCCCGATCATCCTCGTGGCATCCTCTGGACTTGCTCCAGCAGCTCCATGTTCTTCCTATGCTGAGGACACTGCACACAATACTCCAAGTGGGGTCTCATGAGATCAAACCCAGGAGTCTCCCCATCCCCAGCCTTTGCTGAGCATCCAACCACCCAACATCACAGGCTGCTTCCCGGTCTCAACTTACAGCTTCTCTTTCATTTGATAAGTACTCGTAATCCCAGCTCACCCTCATAAAGCACAACCCTTCCCTACACAAAGATGGAGCTCCTTCCTCCCATAACCTATACACACGCAGAGAAGCATTAAGGCACTAATGCCATTGCTCACACGAGACCGTGCTCGGTCGGTGCTGGTTTGATGGATGGAGGGCTGTGAAGGTGCAGACTCAGCCTGGCTTCCTTTCCTGTCTGCCTGCAAACGGCTCATTTTGATGCTCCGTACATCTGTGTGCATAACCTCCACTCCTCAGACACATTGGTATTTCCACCACATTCGAGCACTAGGGCGGCTGATAAAAATTCTCAGCACATAACACAATGCACCAAAATATGAGCAGCTTAACACTTCCCGAGAATAAATGAGTAAAAGGCAGACCTCAAAACACAGAAAGAAAGGAAAGAAAAGGATGTTTTTAAAGGAGAAGCCAATTAATTGAAAACCCTATAGGTGAAACATCAGCTTTTTCTCTGCTTCAGAGCAGGGACCCGTTAGTGAGGAGCGTGGCTGGGTTTGGCAGCCACCTTTACAGCTGTTTGAGGGAAGGATGCTCTGAGCCTTACATGCAGATCTGCACTGAGATCTAAAAGCCCACGCTCTCGTGCTTTGATCCCCTTAATTTCAGACACTTAAGCAGAATGGAGAGGAAAAAACACCCCGAAAGATTGCTCAGGAAGTGTTGCTGCCTGCCTGTTTATCCCCAGCCTAACTGCAAAAGGGGGCACAGGCACACAGAGGTGTGTAGTGTGGCTGGGAGAGCACAGGACTTGGTGATGGCTGGAGGAGTGACAGAAGCATCTTGGGTTCTCATCCCCAGTGAGACACTGATTCTTTGTGCTGTGTGACCTTGGGCATGTGGCTGGAGCACGCATCACTTCAGCCTCTCCACAAACATGGAATGCTGGATCCAGGCATGTGCTGGGGTGACTGGTCCAGTGTGGGCATAAGGGGACCTGCTGCTCCTCACCTTCCTCACCCAGCATCGTGGCTCAACCCCAAATCCATGGGACTACTGCAGCAGAGGCAAACCCCAGCCTTGACCCATTTATTCCAAGCTGCCTCATTTTACAGTTAAAAACAATGATTACTGCACTGCAAGTGGATATTCCTCAAGCCCTAGAAAGGGACCTGTGCTTTAAGAAAGGTTTTATTAAAGACCACTGCTGTGGTACCTATCTGCTGGGGAGATGATAAGCTTTGGACACCAAGATGCTTGTAACAAGTCACACCAGTGGCAGTTTCAATGCAAGCAGGAGAAGAGATGAGAAGTATTAAATCACACCATTCCAATTGTTTGGTTTAGGAAGGGAATGTAACAAGTACAAAAGACACCGGGCTGACAGGCAGAGGGGCAGGAGTCACCATCCATCCACACACCTGAAGACAACAGGTCATTCCATGGCATATTCTGCCTCGCTGCTCCTGTCCCCACTGCAAATCTCAGCTTTGGTCTGTAGGGACCACATCCCGCATCCTGCTCTTGGGGACAACACATGTCCAGGCTGCCCAGAGCAGCAGGGACCAGCAAAGAGCCCTGAGCAGCAGCAGCTTCTCCATGGCAGAAAAAGGATATTCAGCTACTCATCTTAACCCTGTAGTTAATATAAAACACTATTTCTACACCACAAGCATGCCCCATTGATACACAGGAACATCACACCACTCCTCTGCTCTCCCAGCTCCAAAGTAGGGAAGCTCAAAGGGGTCTCGGCTCCTCAGTGTGCTGAACCCAGGGCTGCCATCTCACATCCTCCTCCTGTGCAAGAGGAGCTGCTGCCCCATAGCCTAGGCAGGCAGGCACGGAGCTGCTGTTCACTTTGCAGGTAGGTCTGACTCACCCAGCCTCAATGGCACCCAGGATGGTCATTCACACACACAGGCTCTTTATTGTACTGTTCTGCCTTGTTTTTTACCACTTTAACAATCAGAAATAGGACAACAGGAAATACTTTTACAGCCCTGGACCTGCCCTAGTCAATACAACTGCTACTGTCATATTGTCTGCACTGAAAAAAGCTCTCAGTGCAAGAAGCAAAGCCCAGGTAATAACTACTGCAGGTTCCCACTGACGGCAGGGCTTGAGTGAGGTGGAGTGGGGCCAGACAGGAGGCAAAGGGAGGAGGAAACCACAGAGGGACAGTGTTGGCTGAGCATCACTGCAGCTTTGGTGCTCCTCTGCAGCCACCTTATCCTGAAAAGGGGTCCCCAAAGAGCCCAATGCACCCACATGGTAAGGACTGAAGGGGAACAGCATGGCCTAGGGCTGTGCAAGCCACACTGAGCTGGGCTGAGCTCTTAGGAGCTGTGATGAGAATCCTACTGCAAACCTGGCTGTAGGAATACCCATGTTGCATGTAGGTGGTCCAGAGAGATTCTATACATAGCTGATGGCTGTGCCAAGAGGTCCTGCAGCAGCAGTGTCCATATTCCAGCCTGTCTGCCTTGTTTCAGAGCACCTTAGGGCAGGTCTTCAGGTACAAAGCATCCTGGCAGAAGCCTCGCCATCAAATGAGCAGTTACTCTGAAGTCAGGCTTGGCAGACAAAAACGTGTCACTGCTAAATGTAAGCTCTCAGATAGCAAATGTGAAATAAACTAAACCCAACAGCCACCTCTGGAATAAACATGCTCCTCAGCAAGTACAGCAAAACCCATGCTGAGCTCCAGATTTCAAACCTGCTCTACTCGCACCTTAGGGGACCAGCACAAAGACAACTAATAACAAGCCCCAGCCAGCCCTTGTGCTGCCTGCGGGGTGTGAGTCAGGCTGAAGGCTGCCAAGAACTGCAGGAAGACGTGGTGGGAGATAAACCACCGTGAGCAGACACACAGCCCATGTCACTGGGGGGAATGGGAGCTGGGGACAACGCCACGGTGATTCAAGAGGGAGGTGCCACGAAACACTGGGGCTGCCCCAGTTCCTGGGGCTGAGTGCTCAGCCGAGACCCTCAGCACTTCCCAGTCCCACTTGGCCAACAGAGCAGGGAAATGGGATGGATGCTAAGAGCTGGAAGGCTTCAGGAAGAGCATGGGGTGGGCACTGGAGCAACAGAGCCTCCAGCACTCCCCTCATTAAAAGGCAGGATTAATGAACACCCAGGGTGTGCAAGCGCTTCCAGCCTCCTATTCAAAGCCTGCAGCATCC